TATTTTCAGTGAATGTATCAGGTTTTCTGGGAGGGATGGGGTTGTCATTGTTCTTGTTTTCTATTGTCCAACTAAAAAGAGTTAAAATTAAAGTTCTCAAAAGAAAAGTAATAAATGTTATCAAGGCTCACACTCAGTTAGCCTTCATGGAATCAATAATTAAAAAAAATCATTGCAAAATACACTGAACCTGTTAGTATCAGAATAGATAAGGATGTAAATATTTAACTAGCACTTGAGGTTTCTATTATTTTTTAATTAATGAGCAGTGTATTTTCCAAATAAATGCTGCTAGTAATTCACTACTTATTTTTGTAGTTACTTATTTCATTACTTATTTTTGTAACTTTTTCATTCTTAGTTAAAAGTCTTACTTCTGATTAAGTATCTGAAATACAACACATGATGAGGTGAACACCTAGTTTTCTTGGCTGTCCTATCACCTGTCACCTATGTTGTAACTGGCTTCAGCCCTTTACCTTGGAATCTTGGCTTTCTCTGTCCTTTAAAGTGCTAGATTAGATCTTTAAGGCTTTTCAGCTCTAAATCTAGTATGTATTTAACTCTAATTCATATATTCAAAATAAAATATTTATTATGTTTCAGTATTGAGACTTAGCTGACTTTTCAGCTCCATGAGTTGAGTCTCTTATAAAATATTTGCTACTGAACAGATGTAAATAGCCTTCACTTGGCCTGGTTCACCTCCAACCCTCTTCTGGTATTTTCTGTTCTCGTTTCTGATTCAGGCTTAGCGGCACACAGTGTTCCTCATCTGTGGTCCCTGACCCCAGAGACTCTCTCACAGCCTCCTCTCTGAACCCAGCTCTGTTCCAGATCTCAAGCTTCACTTGACTTAAGATGTAGTCTATCACCTTTTCTCTAGCACATAACTTTATAAGCTTACCAGGCCCCAGTGATAACCCTTCAGCACTTGGCAAGCTGTTAATGGACAATAATTTTTTTTTTGTAGCGCTCATGTTTTATTGGCACATTTAAAGTATGATTTGGTTGTCATTTGTTTAACTTGGGATTCTTTTTCTTTTGTACAATAATGGCTTGAAGTATTCTTCTTTCAACCCAAGCTTTTGGGGTTTTACTATTCTAGGAGTGGGGAGGGCTTTGGGCCAGCTAGCCGTTTAGAATCCCAAGATCATAGTCCAATGTCTTATTCTGCCTCTAATTCCTGCCCAGGGGAATAAAGATAAGTTGGAGCAAGTGTAGAATACCATTCCTACTAAAAGCAACACAGAGATAGTTTCTGGAAGGCTCTAAAGGTCCTGTAAGACAGACTCTACCTTTAAGAATGTGTTGTCTGGGGACTTCCCTGGTGATTGAGTGGTTGGGACTCTGTGCTTCCATGGCAGAAGGCACAGCTTCTATCCTTGGTTGGGGAACTAAGATCTCAGGTTCCATGTGGCATGGCCAAAAAAAAAAAAAAAAAAAAATTATAGTCTGGTTGGGAAGATAAGACATACACAGAGCTAGAGATATACAGCAGTCAAGCAACGACTGCGGGCAGTTCTATGACAAGTGGGCAGAGTGCTGAGGGTGAGGGGGACTCTTTCGATTGGGGAGTCAGGAAAGGCATCATATGGGGAAGGACAGAAGCTGTAGTTGGAGGTTTCAGGTGGAATTCAGCTAAGGAGGAGAGAAATGAAGCGCCCCTAGTGGGCATATCCTTATAGCAGAACCAATATTTTGACTGCACTATTTCTGAATCTCTGCCTGTTGTCCCCAGTTCAGATTTTTTTTTTTTAATTGGAGTATAGCTGATTAATAATGTAATAGCTTCAGGAGCACAGCAGAGTGAGTCAGCCATTAATGTACATGCATCCATCCTCTCCCAAACTCCCCTCCCATCCAGGCTGCCTGGTAACACGGAGCAGTTCCCTGTGCTATACAGTAGGTCTTTGTTGGTTACCCATTTTATTTTATTTTATTTATTTATTTATTTTGGTTACCCATTTTAAATACAGCAGTGTGTACGTGTCCATCTCCAAATCTCTAACTATTCCTTCCCCTTCCAGTTCAGAACATTTACCAGCTATATCCTTCTTTAACCTTCCTCACTGTTCCGCTTATGTTGCCTCTACCAGACCCCTGCCATTCTGGACGTAAGGGACGTAAGGAGGTTTACTCTCCTCCAGATATAAACGCCTGCCCCCGGCTCAGTGCAGAAGCAGCAGGAGGCATGAGTTAAGCATACTGCCAAGTCTTCTGCTGGAAGATATCTTTTAGGATGAACATAATCAGGGGAAATTTTTTCTCCTGCTGGGTAAACCTCACCAAATATTTTCTGCATCTCATTACGAGACTGTCTCCTTGACTGTCAAGCGTGGATTTTCCTTTACAATCATTTCAAGTCCACATATATGTAAGCTATCCTAATAATGAGTGACAAAACTGGGCAATAGAGGAAGTAATGGAAAGCAGGAGGCTGGCATAATCCGTCAGCTACTTCTCCGGCCACAAAATCATTGAGAGTTGCCTGTATAAGAAAATGAAGAATTCTTTCCTTTTCTTGGGTAGTTGCAGCTCTTTCAGATGGTCACAGTTGCAAGACTTCAACTCTTGAAGGAGGATTTCCTGAACTTCTCCTAATAGAGAGGCCCACCTGCTTTTTGCATGATGGGAAAGCCTTTGCAGGGTCAGGCACGTAGGCACTCAAAGGACATTTGTTGAGTGAAGTAAAGAAATGAACGCAGGTGTTGGATATATGTGATCAGGTCCGTCTTCTTCTTTTTTTTTGCTTGCACTGGGTCTTTTTTGCTGAGTGGGCTTTTCTCTAGTTGTGGTCAGTCGGGGCTGCTCTCCAGTTACAGAATATGGGCTTCTCATTGTGGAGGCTTCTCTTGTTGCTAAGCAAGGCCTCCAGGCACTGGGCCTTCAGTAGTTACGGTAGACAGCCTCAGTAGTTGTGGCCCATGGAGTTCGTTGCCCTGCAGCTGGTGGGTTCCTCTGAGACAAGGAATCATCCCACGTCCCCTGCATTGGCAGGCCGATTCTTAACCCCTGGATCACCAGGCAAGTTCTGTGTGTGTGTGTATGTGTTAAGTCCTGGGGTCAGTCTTTATATTGTCCAGTTTTATGGTTCCCATTTAGTCAATTACTTGAATCTATGAGTAGTTTTAGAGGCTCAAAAATCTTTCCAATGTGTGCTCTGTCCTTACACGCTACATGTTGACAATAAATAAAGTGCATACAAACTGAGCAGCTCTGTTTCTTGTTTGAAAACAAGCTGCTTTCAAATCTAGGTCTCCCAGGGCATATTAAGTTGAAAAAACCAACTGCTAGTTATTTTTCAACTAGCTAGAAAAACCATAAAATATTTCTCTCTGTACCTGTTTCGTTTTTCTGATAAGAGAGGAGATAAGACCCAGACATTCTCAGCAGTTTCTGACCTATGAAAAGATTTTAGTTCACGAGGACCTTAACTGTAAGTCCAAAAGGCATTGCAACACCTTTTTGATGTTACTCAGATCTTGGGTGTCATGCCCCCTTCATGAACTGAGAAACACCTGTTCCTACTTGCCAATGCTGAATTGGGGATTCCTGGGCTCTGTAAGTGTTCCCAGAGCTGGGCCTGGCGTGACACACCTGCCCAGATTTGTAAGGAAGGACCACAGAGAAACAGTTCCTCTCTGAATGACCTAACTTCCAAGAGATTGATCATTGTTTTCAGTGTTAAGAAGTCACATCAAAAAAAATAAAAATAAAAAGCAGAGTCCGGCTCTCAATGCACTCTAGAGAGGGCACAGCTGTAACAAGGAGAATAACTGACCTTGGTCTAAGACAGATGGAACCACGAGGACTGAATCCCTTTTTGGTGTCTAGCTCTGGACATCAGCAGACGCAGGCTCTGCTGTTTACAGCTTGGCCTGTGTGCACACACGTTTTGCAGCCCTTACCAGATAGCTTTGACTTTTCTTTCTACTTGGCTAAGGTTTAATCTTAGCTGGCTGTCTGTGTTGAATGAGTTCCAATTGTCCTCTTGCCCATGTAATCTCCACCCTTCCCCACCCAGCCTGTCTGCCAGGAGGCTGCCCTGCAAGGACTGCTCTCACTCGGCTCCCTAGGTCTCTGGCTTCCTAATGCGCTCAGTCCATGGAAAGCCCTGGAAGGAGATGGGAGGACAGGATCCTGCTTACCCCAGTTTCTTTCCTAGGAGGTCACTGAAGATCTCTGCCCAGGCAGGTGGCCTTCCCTTTCTTTTTGTCTTTGGATGCTGGAAACAGCCCCTTTAGGCCTAGGGTTGACCATGACGCTCCCTGGTGCAGTAGCCCTAGGTTACTCCTCTGCCCCTTGTGGTTTATGTGTTCACATTTAAATGATTCCTTTAACAAATACACCTCAGTTTTCCATTTTGGAGTGTGCCACCTGTTTCCAGATGGGACCCTGCCTGATTAGGGCAGTCTAAGGGAACCCAGGGTGAGGTGCAGTCCGATTTCTGGGGGCTCTCTGCAACCGCCATTAGAGACGGGCGACCGGCACGCAGGAGTGGTCTGTCCAAGTGTGGGATGACCCTGGGTAAGCTGCCTTTCCACTCCCAGCTCTGTTTCCCAATATGTAACAAAAATGGTGTAGACTAGACGATGGCGTGTTCTCTTCTGGTTCTAACATGAGGTGGCCTGCGTGCTCCTGTCTGCCTCTTTGGGACCCCGTGGACTGCAGCCCACCAGGCTCCTCTGTCCAGGGGATTTCCCAGGCAAGAGTACTGGAGTGGGGTGCCATTTTCTTCTCTGAGGATCTTCCCCATCCGGGGATGGAACTTGCGTCTCCTGCATCTCCCGCATTGGCAGGCATATTCTTTTACCCCAGAGCCTATTACCCTGTGGAGAAAGCAATGGCAACCCACTCCAGTGTTCTTGCCTGGAGAATCCCAGGGACGGGGGAGCCTGGTGGGCTGCCGTCCCTGGGGTCGCAGAGTCAGACACGACTGAAGCGACTTAGCAGCAGCAGCTATTACTCTGGCCTGGGCATTCCCACTTCTCGGTTTTCTAACGGATTGTGCAGGGCGCCGCAGACAAATTTACATATCGTTTTGCCCTCATTTCAGTATCCACCAGCAGCCACGAGGAGGTGGCAGTGGGCTTTCCGCTGCAGTGGAGACTTAAGCGCTGCAGCACAGCAGAGTTCAAGGGCACGGCGGCCGCATCTCCTGCCCCGGGCCAGTACAGGCGGGCGGCCTGCACACACGGAAGGTTCCGCGAGGCAAAGGCCTGGAAGCTCAACCCCGGGAAGAACGCAGGTCTGGAGGTCCAGTCCCGCGCGCGTTTTAACCCTTCGGACCTTGTTTTCTCGCCAGCAATGGGAGGAGGGTGAGGGGAATCGATGAAAAGCCACGGATCCAAGCAGTCGCCCGAACTCAGGTACCGACCCCGACCTCCGCCAGGAATTGCCGGGCGCGGAAGGCGCGGGAGAGCGGCTCGAACGGCGCCGCGTCCGAGTCCGGGATGCGCGGCGCCGGGGCGGGGGGCGGGCCCACGGCGATTGGTGGCCAGTCCTCCGCCGCGGGCCAATGGGCGGCAAGGGCGTCCGCGGGGGGCGGGGCAGCAGGCGCATCTTAAGCTCTGTGACGCGTCGCTGTCGCCGCAGCTGCTCCGTGGACGCCGCGTGTACCCGGTCTGGCCTTGGAGGTCCCGCCAGGTATCCGTGCGGGGAGCCGCGAGGTCGGGGCCGGAGCTCGGGCAGGGGCCGGGCGCCCTGGGCCGCGGCGGGGCGGGGCGAGGCGGGCGTGAGCGGCTCGGGTCCCAGGTTGCGGGGAGCGTGTGGAGGGGGTGCGTTGGGCCTCCACCCGGAGGGCAGGCTCCTCCTGCGCTGCGGCTTTGCGCAGCGGGCCCGGACTCCCGGGGCATCTGGGGCGCGGGGAGGGGGTTGGCCCGGAGAGCCGCCGGCCTGCGCCCGATCCGGGAGGGCAGGACGCGGCGCATCCCGGCCCGGAGGCAGGAGGACGGAGAGGGAGGCTGTGGATGTGGCACCTCCGCCTGCCAGAGCGGGCGGAGCCGGGCGGGCCGGCGCTCCGCCTCCGCCCTCCCCGGCCTGCAGTCCCACCATCCCGCGCCGGCACCCCAGGCGCTCCAGGGTCCCTGCGCCTCGGCCTGGAGCCTCTCGGGCGCCTTGGGGGTTTCCGGGAAGAGGCCTTTTAGGGCGCCGGCGCGCGGGGCGGGACGCATTTTGGATACGCGGGACTGCTCGGTAAACCCATGGATTTTTACCTACGAGAGTGGGGCGCGCCGACTCTTTACTGAGAAGGGGTCCGAGCCCACCCGGGCGGGTCTGCCCATCTCTTCCCCTCCCATAACCTATCTCCTTTTCTCCTCCAGCCTTTGTTCAAATAAGCCATCAGGCAGGTAGAGCCTTACCGTGGCGTTCAGGTTAACTACGTGATGTCAAGGGGTTGGGGTCCACAGAACTTTGAGCACGAAGACGTCATCGTTCGCGTTTCTTCGCCAACGGTGCTATGTTCTGGTTGAATTGCGTGGACACCTGTACTCAGTTACTACCGTCTCCTCCCTTTGTTACCGTATCTCTTACCTTCTTGAGGTTCAGTTTTCACCTCTGATAAGGTGATAAATTAAGGGGGGGGGGGAAAGGGGAAGTGACTTTGGAATGAAGTGGCTTTAAGAAATTCCTTCCTTCCTTCCTAATTCTCAGTCTCTCCTTCAGAGTTCTAAGAGTTTCTATAGGGAAACTGGTTCTCTCCATTGAAACCTGGAACTGTTCTTTAGGTATGTAATCTGCGCTCTTCATCTTAATCCGCTGAAAACAATAGGCTTCTTTCATTAGAATATCCTGGTTCTGTCTTCAGAAAATCTAGTTCCTGACTGTAGCAGCCTGGTGGGAAAGTAAGATCTTTTAGTGAGGTTTAAATAGTAAAGCTTACTGTTTTGGGATTGCAGTTTTTCATGGTGCTCAAGATTAGTTTTCTGCTCCCCAAAAGACCCAGTATAACTTGGAAAGGTAAAAATTCTGAAAAAGACTTTTTTTTTCCCCCTCAAAGAGGCTGTATTTGTATTTCCACCCATACTCTGCCTTTATTATTGTGGGCATATTTTACGCCCTTTACTGAGTTCCCAGGGATGGGTGAAATCCACATTTAAAGGTAGTGGTGAGTGGGTTTTGGAGGTGTGTGGAGGGTTTGACCTAACTGAGCCAGTACTTTTTCAGTAGTAATGCTTAAGATGTTTGCCAGTGACGCACTTGAGTTGACTCTGAGCCAGATTACGTTTAAAAAAAAAAAACGGAACAAACCCCTAAACTTTTGTTGGCAGAATTTTCCAAAAAGGACTGTATTTGTGAATGGTTGCCTCAAGAAAAGTAAATATTTGACAAAGGTAGTAAAACCAAACTCTGTTCCTCCAGTGGAATATTTTAAGTGGCTTTCTGATGAATTCATGCTGGTTTTTCTTTCAGAATGATCTTAAAAAATAGTACTTCATAGTGTATGCTAAATTAACTCTTCAGAATGCAGCCTTTTATGGAATTCTATTTAAGGTATGTTCTAGTGTAGATAGGATGGATTGGACTGGTCTAATAATAGCTTGAAGAAGGACCTTGTTAATTATGTGTTTTACTGAAAATATTCAGTATTAAAATTTTTGCTGTCACTAACTCTTTGTCCTCTTCTCCAGGAGCCTAGGTTAAATGCACAGCCTGGAGTGAACTGATCTAATGAAGGGAACTCTTGATGAAAAAATTTTTCTTGGTGATGTCATACTAGCCTCCTCTTAGACTCTACTCCATCCTTTAGGAGTGATTTAACGATCTCCTGTAGGGCCTTGCTATTTATCTGTCTTGATTCGCTCTTAAGTCTGTTTAGGAATGACCTCATTCACTCGACAGATAAGGAATGCCCAAACCTGGGCTAGGTTCTGGGGATGCAGAGTGAATTTTAAGACATAGTTACTGTCTTTTTAAGGAGTACAGGCATGAAAGGAGTACTGTCTTTTTAGGTGGACAGGCATGTGAGTGTCTTGAGGTGTTAGAACCTGTGACAAAAATCTGTGCAGAGGTCCTGGGAGTCATAGAAGGTCTGATGTGGTAAATTCCGTAGGGAAGTGTGAAAGGGAGCTAAGATTATAGTATTTATTCATAGAAACAAGATAAAAATGTTAGTGATTATCGTGGAAGGATGGAATTTCAGGTAATTTTCTTGTGTTCCTTATTTTTTATCAATAGAAACAAATTTTTAGAAGAAAAAAGCTCTAGTTTAAAAAAAGAAACCCTGGCACTGTTGACTTTTTTTTTTATATATTGCAGAGATTAACTAATTTCCTTGTGAATTTAAGGCAAGAAGGAACTATTAATAATTGGTCATTTTGTGCTAAGTTTGGTGCTTTAACATTATCTCATGTAATCCTTAGTAATGGCCTTGAGTGGCTTCAACTTCATTTTGCAAGTAGGGACATTGAAGCTAAAAAAACCGGACAAAATCATCCAAATAAAGTTACTCTAACAGCCCCAGCTAGAATTTAAGTCCTGATTTTCAAACTCTGAGGACCTTATGGTCCACTCTTCTGGTTTTCCAAGCCTTTTTGGAAGAGGAAATTGTTGATGCTGGCTATTTTTAAGCCCATCTTAATTCTCCTCTAATATTTCTTACATTGTGCCGACCACAGTAACTTGAACACCGAAGGCTTTTTAATAGAAATGTGCTTACAGGATCCTAGTACATTTAATGCATTGAACAGCAGGACTTTTACCAGGTGAATTAAATATTCAGAGTTCATCTTTAAAAACCTTAAGCATGAATATTAGTAATGTTTTGGATGTTAATGTTAGTAAGTTGTAGTTATGAACTCGGCATATTTTGTTCCATTTCTTTTGCGAATGAGCTGAACAAAATGACTTGTATAAAAGGAAAATGTTCAATTCAAATAATTTCAAGGATTCCTTTCTCTCGAAATATTCTTGTTTAGAGAGGTTTTAGTATTTTTTTTAGATTAGCCCCCCCCCACCCCAATACACAGACACACACACCTGGCTTCTCAGGTGGCTCTAGTGTAAAGAACCCTCCTGATGATGCAGGAGATGTGAGTTCAATCCCTGGGTCAGGAAGATCCCCTGGAGGAGGGCGCAGCAACCAACTCCAGTATTCTTGCCTGGAGAATCCCATGGACAGAGGAGCCTGGTGGGGCTTCAGTCCATGGGGTGGCAAAGAGTTGGACACTGAAGTGACTTAGCAAGCAGCTTTTTTTTTTGGTGGGGGGGAGTGTCTTCTGCCTTCTTTTTTGGGGTCCTACCTGTGCCGCATGCAATAATCCTTGTTCCTTGACCAGGAGTCAAACCCATGCCCCCTGCATTGGGAGGGCAGAGTCTTAGCCACTGGACCACCAGGGAAGTCCTTATAAACGTAATTCTTGATCATTAGGAAACATGGAAAATATAGAGCAGTGGAAAGGTAACCATAGTGAACTTCCTTGGGTATATTTTTTGGTAGAGTTGAACACTGTATATGTGATTGTATTTTTTTTTCACTTAAACATATCATAAAAATCTCCATGTCATCAAAAACTAATTATTTTCAATAGCAATATGTTATTATGTGATTATGTTGAACTATTCTCATATTGTTGAACATCTTTATTAATGAATGTTTCAGTACATTCCTGAGTGTTGCTTTAGGATCTAATCTTGAGAGTGAAATTAGTGGTCTAAGAGCACAAACACTTCTAAGGCTTTTATTTTAGTTACAGTTCTTTTCAGAAAGTGTTCCAGTTAAAAGTATATCTGAGTAGCACTGTGTTTTTTGGTTAGTTTGATCAAGGTAAAAGTTAACGTGTTGCTCTTTAAAAAAAAAAAAATTATTTATCTGGCTGCATTGGCTCTTAGTTTTGGCATGTGAGTGCTTTAGTCTTGGCATGCAAACTTTGAGTTATAGCCTGTGGCTCCATGACTAGGGATCAAACCCAGGCCTCCTGCTTTGGGAGCACAGAGCCTTACCCTGGATCATTAGGAAAGTACCTCGTTTTGACTTTTTAGTTGGTCAAACAGAGCACTAATTCTGAGTCTCTACTCAAGCAATAGAGTTAAAATCAATGCTTTATAAAGACTTAACATTTTGGGGAATTTCTCTGTCTAGTGTAACTAGAATTTTTGCTTTTTTGGCTAATGCCTATCTCCCATGAGTGATTCTTTTTTTTTTTTTTCATGAGTGATTCTTATACAGTTGTTTTATTGTTGTTAACACGTATTTCTTTGAAATAAGATCTGGTAGAAATTAGGGATCTTTTCCTTAAAAAAAAAATGCACTTATGCTTACAACTCTGCCTTTTATTTCAGGAGTCATTGGACCTTCTGAAGACATCCCTGGATCTCGGGTTAAAAATTCTTGCTGGAATCTCAACTGTGGGAAGAAGGGCTAGTTGGTGAGTCTTGGCACGTAAAGTGCTGGATTTTCTTTTAGTACATTCCTGAACATAACGGATTTAACAGCTAGTGCCAAGTGGAAAGCAAAGCAAGCCAAGTTCCAAGTATTAGCTTTTGCTAATTGGGCAGCTCCAACTGAATGCTGGAGATGTGCATGGCCTGACTTGTCATTAATAGCTTCTGTTGAAATGTGAGTTAATTGGTCATTTTAATAAAGCATAGGTGTATTAAGTATGCCTAGTGTTGGCAACTTTCCATTAATCTTGAAATGTATCTTTAAAAAGCATGGTCCCCTCCCCTGACATGATTGCTCTGGATTGTCCCCAATTTCCTTGTTGTTATTCTTAGTTACTTCTATGGCTCCGTCTGTACGTTGTGGCTTGTCATGACTGTTAATGATACAGTTGGCTACAAAGCCGGCTGCAGCGCTGTGGTGGGGGCTGGTTTTAGGGTTGGTGCTGTGGGGTGAGAGCAGCGATGACATTGGAATATATAAATAGATGGTCAGTAAATGTCAGTTTGCTCGTGATATTTAGGATTTATTACTAAACTTCTCAGCTTGTAGTTTGAGGTGCTCTCGCTCCTAGTTGCCTTTTTCTCCTTCCAACAGTTGCTTCTGTGGTGAAGCTTTTTTTGAGGGGGGTTAATTTCACAGAAGCAATCATCCGAGCAGAGTAGACGGTTTCTTTGGGAGCTGTAACTTTTCCTTTCATACTTGGTTTTGCTGTGCTTTTGGTCTGTTCCTCTTACTGTAAAAGCTCTTCAAAGGCTGTTTGTTAGAAATTGCAAAACTTTTCCCCCCATCTTTGTTTATGATTATTTTAACCCAGAGACGATTTAGATAGTTGTGGCTAAATAATAGATTTTACCTTTTTTTTGGTCATGCCACGAAGTGTATGGGATCTTAGTTCCCTGAGCAGGGATCAGACCCTCGCCCCCTGAGTCTCTGTGTTGGGAGTGTGGGGTTTAAACCACTGGAGTGTTTTTAGCCACTGTACCGCCTGTGAAGTCCCACAGATTTTACCTTTTGTAGTTTCTGTCTTTCCTGCATTAAACTTAGACGGCCCTTCCCTTCCCTTCCCCTAAGGAATCATTTTTCCACCCCACTGCATTTACTTTTACTTTAGGATGTGTCTGGTCCCTTTGTGGAAACCGAGTTCTTCCCTAATTTCCTCACTCCTTACGGGAGGACCAAGTTGATAGGCAAAGTCGTTCTCAGTGCCTCCGCCCTGCCCCCGTGATCTCTAGCGTCCCCCCCCCCCCCCGCCCCCCCCGCCCCAGGGCAGCCAGCATCTCTGATTTGGCTTGTGCCTTTGGGCTCTAATCTGAGATCCATCTGAGTCTTACACCCCCGCATAAATACCTTTCAAATGGTTGTTCAGCTCTTTGCGTGCCTGTGCTGTTCGGCCCTGCCTGACCGCCTGACTGCCCCGAGCTTGTCAGGTGGTGCAGGCGGCTGTTTGGGGAAAGTCGAAGCAGGTCTGCTTTGCAGGCTCTTCCCTGTTCTCTTGGCCTTCTAGCCTCCGGGGCTTATTTACTTGTTTATCCGCGTGTTTACCCTCTTGCCCTTTAGGTTCCCCAAAGGCAGGAGTCGGGTGTGTGTTCTCTTTTTTTTGGTGGTTTTTGTTTTTTTCATTGTATTTTTTCAATTAAAAAATTTTATACACTTTTTAAATGTTGCTTTCCATTTGCAGTTAAGACCTCTGTTGTTCTCTCTTATTTTCCTGATTCTTTGGTGAGTGCTCCAAGTATAGTTGATGAGTAGACATTCACCCACCCTGTGAAGTTTCTTACCCTTTATGCCTTCTCTTTTCTTTGGACAGGTCGGTGATATTCCCACTTGAAGGACATCATGCTTTCCAAACTAGCACGTTTGCAGACTGTTGCTGGCCTTGGTCGTGGAGTTCATTCTTCAGTGGCTTCTGCTACATCTGTTGCAACTAAAAAAACAGTTCAAGGCCCTCCATCCTCCGATTACATTTTTGAACGGGAATCTAAATATGGTGCCCACAACTACCATCCTTTACCTGTAGCCCTGGAGAGAGGGAAGGGTATGTTTTTACCCTGTCCACCAGCCCCGATTATTTGCTTTACCTTTTTGTAAAGCTTGCTATTATATTTTCTCACTGTACATTTTTCCAGAGGCATTTAATTTCTGTACTGCAGGCATGATTAATTCAACATCTGTTGAGTGTTAGGTGCTGTGGGGAATGCGTGGTCATGATGGACTTGCCATGAGGGAATGTATAATACATGAGTAAAGTATTATAATATTGTTGTCACTTTTTTTCCCTTTAACTTTTATTTTGGTGTAAAAAGCTGCCACAATAGCACTAGAATTTCTCTTTTATTGATCTTCACCCAGATTTCCCAAGTCCTTTTTTCTTTTAATTGCACTTGCATAATCATCTTTGTCCAGAAACACACATACATTTTTTTTCCTTGAACCGTTTGAGAGGAAGTTGCAGACATGCCTCTTTACCCCCAAATATTTGTGCCTTTCCTGAAACACAAAGACTGTCTTACATAACAGAGTGTAATTATCAAAATCAGGAAATTCACACTGGCACAGCACTGCTCTCGAATCTACAGGCCTGATTCAGATCTCGCTTGCTGTCCTGTGTAGCAAAAGAAAACCTCAGACCATGGGCTGCATTCAGTTTTCAGGGCTGTTTAGTCTCATCCAGAATAATCCGCAGACTTTGGCTTCTTGACCTTGATATTTTTGAAGAGTACAGGCCAATAATTTTTAGCATGAACCACCATTTGGGGATGACTGGTAAGGTGTAAAAAGCTTTTACTCCCACTTTTATCATCTGTTAATGATTCTTGTCTGAATAAATGATTACTGATTGTTGCCAAATGGTGATTTAATCCATCATCAAATCAAGCTGAAGTTTATCACTTATCTCTGGGCCAGAAGATAATACGGTCATTTGCCTATATATTTTTTTTTATTTGGGACCAGTACTGTAATAAATAAAGCTCCTTCTGAACAGGCGAAAATCTAGGTTTATATTTTACCGATTTGTAAAAATGTTCTTTACTTACAGTAGCAGAGCATGCACTCTAGAATCTGACTGGGTTCAAGTCCTGGTTGCATGCATACCAGCTTGGGCTAGTTATAATCTAAGCATCTACTTCTTACCTCTATAGTGTAAGGATGGTACTCATAGAGCGTTTTTGATTAGATAAAGGACATAGCACCTTTAAGTATGTTAAGTACATGGCAGAAATTAGGTGAGCCCCTAATACATTTAAATATCTGTGGTTAGCTTAAAAAAATTGTTGTAAAATGACATACCATAAAATTTACTGTTTTAACCAGTGTTTAATTCAGTGGCATTGAGTACATTTATAATGTTGTCCAACTGTCATCGCTACCTCGTTCTAGAACATTTTTCTTTATCCCCAAAGGCAGCCCCGTACTATTAAACAGTCACTCCCCACTCCTTCCTCCCCTAGAACCTGGCAGCTACTCATCTGCTTTTTGTTGCTACAGACTTGCCTATTCTAGATGGGACAGACAATATGTGACCTATTTCACTTAGCTCCATGTTTTCAAGATTTCTTCCATGCTGTAGCATGAGTTAGTATGCATAGCTATTTACGGTTGAATTAAGTTCTCCATTTTATGGAGATAACCACGTGTGTGTCCATTCATCAGTTGATGGACATTTGGGTTGTTTCCGCCTTTTGGCTATTTAAAATAACACATTCTGTTTGAACACCTGTCTTCCACTTCTAGGCGTTTGGTTGCTGGGTCATACAGTATTTTATGTTTCACCTTAACTTATGAGGAACCCCGAAACTGTTTTCAACAGCTCTTGCACCACTTTATAATCCAACTAGTTATATAAGAGTTTCAGTTTCTCCAATCCTTGCCAGTTCTTGCTTTCCTTTTTAAGAAAGCGATAGCCATCCTGGTGAAAGTAAATGCTACCACTGTGGTTTTGGTTTGCATTTTTCTCTGACAACTAATGATAGCATCTTTTCCTGTGCTTGTTGGTCATTTGTATATCTTGTTTGGAGAAATGGCCATTCAAGTTCTTTGCCTTTTTTTTTTTTTTTGGCTGTGCTATGCAGTTTGTGGGATCTTAGTTCCTCCACCAGGGATTGAACCTGGGGCTCTTGGCAGTGAAAGTGTGGAGTTCTTACCATGGGACTGCCAGGCAGTTCCATTTGCTATGTTTAATTGGCTTATATACCTTGTTGAGTTGTAGGAGTTCTGGATAGTAGATCCTTACTAAATAGATGTGTGATTTGGAAGTATTTGTTTTCATTTTGTTGGTTTTTACAGTCAATCGCAATTTTTATGTTTTATGTAACTTCTTCCTTTAAATTCCAACTTTAAGGAGTTCTCTGGTGGCCTAGTGGTTAGGATTTTGGGCTTCAGTGATGTGACCTGGGTTTAATCCCTGCTCAGGGAACTGAGAATGCCACAAGCCTCATGCATGGCAAAGAAAAAAAAAGGAAGAAAAATAAAACTCCAGCCTTAAATGATAAACAGTTTTCTAGGAATAAAGGTTTTACTCTAGAATTTATAAAATCTCTTCATGTTACTGCTTTTTTTATTAAATGTGTAATTTGATGCTGGACAGATAAAATATAATTCCATATAAATCAAAGTTTATTATGCTTGAGTAAAACTATGCCTTAACCACAATTCTCTGTGAACTAGAGGTCCATACATAGGTATTCAGAGGGCTGGCTAGCAGTCTTAATCTTTGAAGGTTATGTAATTTAGTGATTTTTCTAAAATTATTTTCCTTATGTTTTAGGTATTTACGTATGGGATGTTGAAGGCAGAAAATATTTTGACTTTCTGAGTGCTTACAGTGCTGTCAACCAGGGGCATTGTCATCCAAAGATTGTGGATGCTTTGAAAAGTCAGGTGGACAAGTTGACCTTAACATCTAGGGCTTTCTACAATAATGTGCTTGGTGAATACGAAGAGTATGTTACTAAACTTTTCAACTACCACAAAGTTCTTCCAATGAATACAGGTAAAATATTTCCTTTTTTTTGGTTAAATAGCCAAGAAAATCTTATTATTTTCTGGTAACTTGAAACATTTTTTAAAACTGATATTTTAAAATGTTCCCTTGGGTAGGAGTGGAGGCTGGAGAGACTGCTTGCAAGCTTGCTCGTAAATGGGGGTATACCGTCAAGGGGATCCCGAAATACAAAGCAAAGATTGTTTTTGCAGGTATGTGAAATTCAGTGTTAGCTGCTATGATTGAAACATACAATTATTAGTTTCCATTTTAACTTATGATGAGATATTGCAAATTTATTTGTCTCATATATGTTATATCGAGGCTTCCCAGGTGGTACTAGTGGTAAAGAACCCGCCTGTTGCATGAGACCTAAGAGATGTGGTTTCCCTTCTTGGGTTGGGAAGATCCCCTGGAGAAGGAAATGCATGGACACAGGAGCCTGGGGGCTACAGTCCAGAGTCTAGAAGAGTCAGACGTGACAAGTGACTGAGCCACGCATGATGCATTGAATGTTGCATAAAAATTGAGAGACTTCCTTTTCTTGGGTTCATTTCCAAGTATTTCTTGGATGCTCCTAATAACTCCCTACCTCTCCCTCCCTAGAGGGAGTGAATGTGTGGTTTATTTCCCATCTACTTATCTGATTTTTTTCATAGCAGTTTTCTGGTTAATGAGACAGTTTTGCTGATGCGAGCATCATACAAAAATGTTGCAGCAGTTTTGTGAGGTTATTGAGGTTGGGTTATGTTCATGTAGGGTCATGTCCTAGGTATGATACGAAGTTTGAACCTTAGTGTATCTCAAATACTATGAGATTTTATTGTGCCAAGTTGTTAAAAGCTGTTGGACGAGGAGGGCTGGCATTGCCCCCGGTATATTTCTGCGAATGGTTGAGAGGAATGACTCGTGTACTGAGTAGGGAGACCAACAGTTAATTTAGATTATTGATTTAGTCTGACTTTGGGATAGGTTCTGACTTTTTCTTTTCTAAAACTTTGATTTTAATTTTTAAAAACATATGGAGAAATTTGTCACTGCACACGGTCGAGATTCTTTCTTGTGATGGTTGAAATTGTGAAATACTTTGCCTTATGAACACACGTAGCTAAATTATATGCCCCATAATACAGTAGAATCTAGAGTTCATCTGATGGCCAGCCGAAGTTGATGTCTGGGGAGGGGGCGGCGACTGATTCCTGTTCCCGAAGAAGAAATAGTCTCTGCCCAGCTCTCTGATCTGCCATTTTGGAATCTCGTGCCTTTAGTTGTAAGGCAACATAACTGTCTCTTGCAAACAAAAATGGCCTTTCTGGTGACTTTCCTCCTTACAGACCATGTCCGGTCTCTCATATTAGCACAGGGCACAAAGATGTTTCTCCCAGGTGCTGAGAGAAGTCAGTAGGAAGAGACAGGACTGTCTGTCCCCAGGTGCAATCCCTCATTCAGCAGGGTCAGCTGCGGGGCGTGAGCCTGCTGAGGCCGATGGCGGAGAGCAAGTAGGCTGTTGGCATACTTCGTCGTAAACAAGCCTGGGCAGAATCAATAATGCTGTTGCTTGTGGACAAGTCAAGTAGGGATTACTCATAGCTGAGAGAGGCTCTGCAGGGGTTGTACTGAAGGATGCTATAGGGCCAACTTGGAATAATTCAGTTCAGTTCAGTCACTCAGTCGTGTCTGACTCTTTGCTATCCATGGACCGCAGCATGCCAGGCCTCTCTGTCTGTCTCAACTCCCAGAGTTTATTCAGACTCGTGTCCATTGACTCGGTGATGTCATCCAACCATCTCATCCTCTGTTGTCCCCTTCTCCTCCTGCCCTCAATCTTTCCCAGCATCAGGGTTTTTTCAAATGAGTCAGTTCTTCACATCAGGTGGCCAAATTATTAGAGTTTCAGCTTCAGCATCAATCCTTCCAGTGAATATTCAGGACTGATCTCCTTTAGGATGAACTGGTTGGATCTCCTTGTAGTCCAAGGGACTCTCAAGAGTTTTCTCCAACACCACCGTTCAAAAGCATAATTCAGCACTGGGTTAGCTGAGTTGCTGCTGGCAGAGGGGGTGAGAAGATATCTTTTTAAAAAGTGGGAGGCTCTCCAAGCCTCTCTTACTCTAGTTTGTTTCTTTTCTTCCTTGGATTTAACCACGTTGAAGGTACCTTGTACGTCTGCTTTACCGGTTTGTCATGGTGTGTCTTCCCTAATAGCATAGAAGCTCCTTGGGGTCAGGGGCCTTGCCAGTCATCATTCTGCCCCCAGCACCTAGAGCAGTGTCTGACATTATTAATCGGTCCTCAGATTACTAGTGAAACAAATTAATGGGTAAAAATTGTTCCTGAATAAAGGTCAATGTCTGTCTTCTAGCGCATAATAGCTTATGACACCACGGAAGGCAAATTGAAAGTGTTCAGACTGCCTGAGGATATTTTATCCAAATGAAATGTAAAACTCATTCTGTAGAATAGTTAGCCTATAGTGTTGGATTTTTAAAAGGAAAACTGCAAATTCTCTATGAAGGATAGTCATTTTCTCATGTCATTATCATAAATGTGTCTAGAAAAACCGTCTCTAGAAAAACATGTATTGAATGCTTCAGTTTTTAGGGTTTGGGATTATTGAAAGAAAAGACAAATCTCTCTCCTCAGGGGCCATGCTGTGTATTATAGTTGGGAGACTCGGTCGAGAAGTCCTAAAAGAGTAATCACAAGGCCAGACCTCAGCGGGCTCATGAACCGGGGGTGTTTAGTATCCAGTACTGTTTAAACAGATCAGCTCGCTGGAGGCTCTCTAAAGCGAACCCTTGCTTTTTGAAAAAAAAAAATCAAGCTTCTGGGAATTCTGTGGTGATCTCGAGGTTAGGACTTCTCTACGTCTCTTGCAGTGGGCAGGAGTTTGATCCCTTGTCCAGGAACTAAGATCCCACAAGTAGTGGATTGTGACCATGATTAAAAAAACAGTGGAGTATTTTTGGGGAACTGTGATATTAAATTGGATGGTTTGTTTGAAAAAAAAAAATGACTGTTTATTTCTTCTTTCTAGCTGGAAACTTTTGGGGTAGAACATTGTCTGCTATCTCCAGTTCCACTGACCCAACCAGTTATGATGGTTTTGGACCATTTATGCCAGGTTTCGAAATCATTCCGTATAATGATCTGCCTGCTCTTGAGGTACTTCACCTAGTGTCACGGTACTTTAGCTCATAGTACATGGAACCTGCGTTTGTTGAATGTATGAATTAAAAACAGACATCTGATTGTACTGAGAGTCACATATCTCATAACTTACATTTAAGTTAGGCCAGGATTCACACTTATTCTCTGTAACGGTCAGTTAGTTTATAACATGTGGAAACCAGGTTCCGTGGTCTGTTCCTGACCACCAACCAACCACTTGAGATTTGTTTCCTACGTAAGTATTAACTTGAGTATTACCTGTTAATTACTTTAATAGACAAGATTAGTCAGTTTTCAGCCAGGTTTTTAAAATTATGAAGTGGAAGACTTCCAAAATAAAAAGATACACTTCTAATGTATCTATTTAATGGCGTTTTTAAAGGCCACTTTCACTAGTTTTTATTGACAGTACATTTGAGTATTATATTAGAAAATACAGGATGGAGTAGCTTAAAGCTGAGATATTTGGAGCTTTTGGTAATCGATTGTCGGAAAAGTTGTACTTGGAAGTCAGAATATAAGTTAGTGTAAAAACTTAATTTGTGTACTTACTCTTATGGGAAAATATGTGCATTGTGTGACTTCAGATTTCCAAATAGATTGGAAAGGAAGTTACTAAGAACATACTCATGCTGTTTCCATAGCGTGCGCTTCAGGACCCAAACGTCGCCGCATTCATGGTGGAACCAATCCAGGGTGAAGCAGGCGTTGTTGTTCCGGATCCAGGCTACCTCGTGGGAGTCCGCGAGCTCTGCACCCAGCACCAGGTCAAAGCCGCCCACTTGCCTGCCTTGCTTAGGGTTTGGCCGATAGGAAAGCTTCAAGATTGCATCACTTTTCCACTAGAAGGAGGCTTCATTCTAAGAGCCTCCGAACTTTCTAGGGCTGATAGAACTTTCTAGCAGCAGGCTGCAGAGAAGCTGACTTTACTGGCAGGGCCCTGGTGGACCCTCTGCCTGGCTCCTTCCTCTCTGCCCCAGCAGCCTCTGCCATATCCCTTTGCTCCAGAATTTAACCTCTCTCCCCCTCTTCTTCCACCAAACTGGTAAATGTTAATAAAATGTACATATTAACAAATGGTTGTGAAATAAACATAGAAATCTGTTCCCAGAGAGTAGTTCTATTCAGAAACCCCCCCACAAAACCCTCACTTTGCATACCTGCCCTTCCACTGTGTAGAAAGTGCAGAGTGGGCCTCTGGGGACAGGGTGGCCTGACGCAGGAAATAATTGTGTGTCCCGCACCATTGAAGTCACGTGGGTAATTAAAATGTTTTCACAAATCTGAGGGGATGCCAGAATGCCACATTCGTGCAGGAAAGAGTAAAATAAAGATAAGTATTTTGCTATGAAAATTTATTATTTTCATATGCTATTTTCATTTATGCTATTTTGTTGTTTTCCAATAGGTTCTGTTTATTGCTGATGAAATACAGACAGGCTTGGCCAGAACTGGGAGATGGCTGGCTATTGACCACGAAAATGTCCGACCTGATATTGTCCTTCTAGGAAAGGCACTTTCTGGTGGTTTATACCCTGTAAGTTGAATGCTCAACCGCTCTTTGTATTTTCCCTATTCTCATGAATCCCTGAGATATTTTTACATTACCGACTGCCTTTCTGAGGGTTTGGTTTTACTTAGTGTGGTTTATATACATAGGTCACCTGGAATACGTGTGATAAAAACATTTCAGAGTTCCATGGTTAACCCCACTTAGTTTAACTGAAGAATTGAGTGTCCCTTGGGTTTGCTCCACTGCATTTATTTTGGATGGAACCATTTTATCTCCAGAGTACTCCTGTAGACGTCTAGGCTTTTCCCCCATAGTTCAGAAACATACTAATTGTTTAAAACCATTGACCGATTAATGCAGAGATTGAAAAAAATTAACGTTTAGTTGTTAATCCTTTTCTCGGGTTTGCTATTCAGAGCCAACAGTTGGTATGGATTAAAGGGCTCTGAATGTGTAGTGCAGAACATTGTTTTCTAAACAATTAAAGCATTTCACCCTGAGAGTGGAAAGAATTTTAAACATATCACTGCAGAAATAGCTTTGTTTTAGTTCCAAAAGATGACTTGGTACCGCTGAAGGGTGCCCAGTGTGCTTGGAGCATGTTCGGGCAGTCCTCGTCTTGTCACCGGCAGTCAGGGAGGCTGGCGTGTGGCACTGGTTGGTTGAAGCTTCATGTCAGATTTAACATCTGCTTCGTAAATACCTGTGTTTCCATAAGAGTAAGAGTGGTCCATCTGAGAAGAGACTTGGTCTGCGCCTAATTCTCTTTTTTGTCTTCTAGGTGTCCGCAGTGTTGTGTGATGATGAAATAATGCTGACCATTAAGCCAGGGGAGCATGGTTCTACATACGGAGGCAATCCGCTGGGCTGCCGAGTGGCCATCGCAGCCCTGGAGGTAAAACCTGATGGCAGCTCTCAGGAGAGCCAACCAGTCCATCCTAAGGGAAATCAGTCCTGATATTCATTGGAAGGACTGATGCTGAAGCTGAAACTTCAGTACTTTGGCCACCTGATGCAAAGAACTGACTCATTGGAAAAGACCCTGATGCTGGGAAAGATTGAGGGCAGGAGGAGAAGGGGACGACAGAGGGTGAGAGGGTTGGATGACATCACCGACTCAATGGACATGAGTTTGAATGAACTCTTGAGTTGGTGATGGACAGGGAGGCCTGGCATGCTGCAGTTCATGGGGTCTCAGAGTCAGACACGACTGAGCGATTGAACTGAACTATATGGTAGCCAGTATCCTGGAGGTGGTGCTGAAGTGACTCTTAAGTCTGAGCTCACTGGTGTAATAAGAAATGTTCCAAGATTGCAGTGTATTACAGAACGTGAAGTATAGAGAAGGATTGTGTGGGTTTCCCAAGTTTTCAGTCTCCCGGGGCTTTGGGCCTGCAGGTCCTGGCATGTCCACCTAGAGCTCTCCCTCTGTGGCCAGGCTGGCCTATGAAGCCTCTGGCTTAGCCCACGTGGTTTCTTATTATTGTCGTTAAAGCGAGGATTTGAATGCTTTCAGACTTACTCCTCAAGTGCCTACAAAAGGCATAAAATTATTATGTAATCTCTGAGGATGGACTTTTTAGGAGGAAAAAGAAGCCAAAGGAAGTTCTGTTGCAGTTAAAAAATTAAAATGTGTTCATTCCATTGATTTATTTACCTAAGAAGAAAATTTATCAATTGCATTAAACAAATTTAATCCTTATTTTGCTACAGAACAGATTAATGGTGGGTTTTTGCATAAAGCAAGGCTTTGTCTAAGTGAGTGTCTGTTACATGATGAGAAATCAAACTGGTATAAGCTTTGAAAAATAGAAGTGAAAGTTAAGTTACTCTGGTCTTTATCTGATCCTCTTCTTCCTTTGCTTGTAGTTCACATTCCCCTCCAAAGAGCAACATTAAAAAAAAAAGGCAGTCTTTAATATATGTATAATTTCTCTTGAAACATAGGTTTTGGAAGAAGAAAACCTTGCTGAAAATGCAGAGAAAATGGGTATCATCTTGAGAAATGAACTCATGAAGCTGCCTTCTGATGTTGTAACGACTGTAAGAGGAAAAGGATTACTAAATGCTATTGTTATCAGAGAAACCAAAGGTATGGAGACACAATATTTTACAAGGTACTATTCTTATAGGAAAAGCTCAAAATGCAAATGGTATTTTCTCTGGTCGTTGGGTTCCTCTGTTTGAAACTGTTGACTGGCCTCCTATCGACCAAGTCGTTGGCTCTGCCTGATACTCTTCTGGGCTTCCCAAGTAGTGCTAGTGGTAAAGAACTTGCCTGCCAGTGCTGGAGAGCCAGAGACACGGATTCGACCCCTGGGTCGGGAAGATCCCTTGGAGGAGGGCATGGCAAACCACTCCAGTATTCTTGCCTGGAGAATCCCATGGACAGAGGAGCCTGGTGGGTTACAGTCCATGGTGTTGCAAAGAGTTGGGACACGACTGAGGCAACTTAGCACATACACATGCAGTACTCTTATTACCTGATTTATATTAATGGTCTTAAAAATACAGCTGTTTCCTACAAGAAGGCATATTTAACTAATTTCACCCATTTGTATTCCTTCAAGTCATTTGTTATTCCGTCATCAAGTTATTTGTTATGCAAGGTTATTTATACAGTACTTGGAGAGTTCAGTTAGTTTTCTGTTAGGAAGACTGCCCAGAGCACTTTGCAGTTTCCTGCCTGCTCTCCTTTCCTCCCTCACTTTGCAGATCAGCAGAGATAGTAGGAGCAGCAGTAATAATAGGAATGATAACGGTGATGTTGGTAATAAAAATAACCCCAGGTGTCACTTAACTGAGCATTTGGTGTTTAACACATCATTTGTAACCCATAAGCGTTCCTGGCTGGATTTTCTTGCCATAACCCTTCCTTTTCAAAGCAATGGTTTTAACCTTGACTGCATTTTAGAATCACCTAGGGAGCTTTTTAACAAATTAATCCAAGCCTAGCCTCATGCAAAGAGTCTGATTTGATGGGTCTAGAGCGGGGCTCAGGCACTGGCCGCGGCCCCTTCGGTGTTTCTGTTGCACTCAGGGTTTTGAGGATGCCGAGAGTCTAATTCTACCAGCTTAGGAAGCAAATCCAGGTTAGAAACCTGTAATGGTCACTGGGTTTGAATGTTGCTTATTCTGTGCCTGTTAGTTATCTGTATCATACCCTAGTTCTTGTATGCATTGGTTCCTCATATAATTAATTATATCTGCCTTAGCATGTGATTTTTATGCTAGGTCGAAAACCAGACAAAAACCATATCTGCTCATAGCATTCAAACCATTGCTGAAAAGTAAGTTCATTTTTAAGAGTGAGAGCCAGAAGCGAGCTTGCAGCTCAGAGCTGCCTTTCTTGAGTGACAGCGACAGTGATGTCGCTCAGTCAAGGCCAACTCTGTGTGACCCCGTGGACTGCAGCCCGCCAGGCTCCTCCATCCATGGGATTTTCCAGGCAGGAGTACTGGAGTGGGTTGCCATTTCCTCTCCAGGGGATCTTCCCGACCCAGAGATGGAACCTGGGTCTCCCGCATTTCAGGCAGACACTTGACCTATTGGGAATTCTGTTCTTGCCAGTCGGCCCCCACCCCTGCAGGCTGCTTATCATTGATCAGCATACACTTGACGGTTTTTCTTTAGATTGTGATGCTTGGAAGGTGTGTCTGCGACTTCGAGATAATGGACTTCTGGCCAAGCCAACCCACGGCGACATCATCAGGTTTGCGCCCCCGCTTGTGATCAAGGAGGATGAGATTCTAGAGGCGGTGGAGATCATTAACAAGACCATCCTGTCTTTCTGAGGGTGGTGACAGTTTTCAGTGGTGCCTGGGAGCCAGCTGGAGACATGTGGTTCATAAAGCTCTGAGTTTCTGTGCTTAATGCAGGCATATTCCACTCCTCCATGTCAAGGGCTTTAAAAAAAAAAAATATATATATATATGTTTTTCAGTTCATGTATAACAGAATGACTTTTATAGACATGCAGTTTGCTATGTAACATAACTAAGAGAATGTCCTGGCATCTTATATTTGATTAAGTGTTTTTGTGCTTATATTCTTTCTAAGATGAGGTGCCTTTCTATATAGACAGCCTTTTAATCAAGCCCCTCAGCATAATTTATATATGTTTTAATAACTTCCTTGCTGGTACAAATGTTTGTATTTGAGAAAGTTATATTAGTATTGCCTGGAAGACTTGCTTAACCTTACAAAGTTGAATCATAATCATTGAATTTTAGCAAGGATGAATGGTTAAGCTGACACAAGTCAACTCCATATTGGCTGGCATCAAGACGTGTTCTGTGAATGTCATTACTTTGAATTAAGAATTAATGTTCAACATTCCTAGATTATGTTTTAAATGTTCCATGTAATTTGTAAAGAGTGTTTGTTTTCAGTGTATCTTTAAAATAAATCTCATTTCTGAAATGTCTGTGTTAGGGACCAGTGTGTGGTTACTGCAGTGTTATTGGTTACCTCACATTTTAAGCTCTCTGAGAATGTTTTTATTTGCTTTGTTTCTTGTGTTCTCTAAGAACATTTCAGTTTGTTTGGTAATCTCTAGAAAAAGAGAAATTATAAAAAGAAAGTTTCTTTTAGTACTCCTTCTCTGCTTTCAAAATAACCGCTCTTTTCCCATGTGTATACTAGTACTTGGCATTTTTATTAAAGCATCCTTGTTATGCCTGGAATTGTGCAACTTCTTATTTGTTTATTTTTTTACCTGTGCAGGGTATTTGGGATGTTTTTCTATGTCGGTAAGGTTTATCTCGTTCTCTTTGAGTTGATCTAAGAAAGAAATGGAAAAATTTATTTGAGCCAAACTGAGGATTATAACCTGGGAACAGCCTCTCAGAAAGCCCTGAGAACTATTCCTCCCATTAGAAGTCAAAACACAGTTTTGCCTAAGTTTTTTGAGACTTGATGACGCATTATTGACAGCATACACAATCGGTGAGTTATGGGTCATGGGTCATCTTGGCCCTTACAAGATTAAGAAGGAATGTGGGACTTCCTGGCGGTCCAGTGATTTAAGACTCTGCCCTTCCACTGCAGGGGGCATGGGTTCCAGTAAGCCGAGTGGCATGACAAAAAAAAAAAGGGAAGGAATGTTGTCTTAAAGGAGTTGTCTTTTTGGTGCTAGAAAGTGTTGCTCTTTATGGTTGAGCAGGTATTTCTGCCAATGGGCAGGTTTGGTTGCTGCTTAGCTGAGACACACACTACACAGTAGAAGGGAGAGAGGAGGCCAAAAGGGCAGAGGGAATCTGTTTAAATTTCTCTTGTCTTGCCACAAAACATGAATTTTATTTTCACACTCTATGTCTATAGTATTTTATCTTAAGTGGGTATATTATAATTTTGTATCAGAAAACATGAATTTTATGTCACACTCTATGACTATAGTATTTTATCTTAAGTGGGTATATTATAATTTTGTATCAGAAAGCATGAATTTTATGTTCACACTCTATGACGATAGTATTTTATCTTAAATGGGCATGTTAGACTTCTGTAGTAGAAAACATTTGGTTATCTTCAGTTTTTTACTTTTTTGTCTTTTAGAAGTGGAATGTAATTTTAATAGTTGTATTTAATACATTAGACGTCACCGTGTAAAAATCTAAGGCATATAGCACGATGGTGTGATATCGTGATCAGTTTTTCACTCTTTAAACGGCTGGTTGTGACAACTTTGTATCTTGTGTGTGAGTGTCTCAGTGGAGTAGATCCTTCGGGGTGAGTCGCTGCGTCAAAGGGAACAGCTTGTCATCAGTAGTGACACATTGCTCCCTGCACCCCCTCCCTCCCCCACAAGAAGCTCGCAAGTCACCTCTTAGCAGCTTGGACGTTAGAGATCAAATCTGAGCCGGGGGTCTGCTCATACCAGTGGCAGTGCTTACTGGCCTGACTGGGGGGTTCTGGCTTGGACCTGCCTGGCCCCCTGCAGTCTGTATAGGACACACAGCTGAAGTAAGGGTCTTCCTAAACGGTCAGAGGCTGCTAGTTCTCAACCCTGGCTGGAACTGTAAGACCGGGGGTGGAGGGGGTGGGGGGGGGGTGGGGGGTGGTTAAGTTTGGTGCTGCTTCCAATCAGACTTCCATGGTGGCTCAGACAGTGGCTTATTGTCTGCCTACAATGCGGGAGACCCGGGTTCCATCCCTAGGTCTGGAAGATCCCCTGGAGAAGGAAATGGCAACCTACTCCAGTATTCTTGCCTGGAGAATCCCATGGACAGAGGAGCCTGGTGGGCTACTGTCCACGGGGCCCAGAGAGTCTGACAACTGAGCGACGTCACTTTCACTGCTTCCAATCAGATCACCTTTTGCACATCAAAGGCACCGGGGTTTCTCAGGCCTTACCCCAGGCTGGACTCTCTGGGGCTGCACTCAGGCCTCAGTAACTTTAAAGGTCCCCAGGTGACCGTGTGCCCTCAGGGCTGAGAACTTGCTTTAGGAATCTCACCTAACTGCAGATTCTGATTCGGTGAGATTCTGCCTCTCCTGTAAGCTCCCAGTGGATGGAGGTGCTGATGATGCCTTGAGGCATAAGATCCTGATCAAGAGTAAGTTACATTCCGAAGTTCTCAGCCATGGGAAAAGGCCTAAAGCCAAGGTGAATTTAACAAAACAAACTTCCTGCTGAATTCTTTGAGGGTCTTAATGGTTTGATGGTTTCCCTGGTGGCTCAGATGGTTAAAGAATCTGCTTGCATGCAGGAGATCCCTGGGTTGGTAAGATCCCCTGGAGGAGGGAATGGCTGCCCACCTCAGTATTCCTGCCCAGAGAATTCCATGGAAAGAGGAGCCGGGAGGGCTACACAGTCCTTGGGATCTCAGAGAGTCAGATGAGACTGGGCAGCTAACACTTTCACATTGGATTAAGGTCCACCCTAATGACATCATTTTAACTTAATTGTCACTTTAAAGACTTGATCTCTGAATGCAGTCACATTCTGAGGTTCTAGAGATTAGTACTTCACCACAGGAGTGTGGGAAGGGGGAAATAATTCAGCCCCAAACCCCAACAATGTAGTGTTCTTTGGATCCTGACCTTTTAGGACACCTCATCTAAATTCGGGCTTCCCTGTTAGCTCAGAATCCACCTGTAATGCAGAATACACCGGTTTGATTCCTGGGTCTGGAAGATCCTCTGGAGAAGGGATAGGCTACCCGCTCCAGTATTCTTGGGCTTCCCTTGTGGCTCAGCTGGTAAAGAATCCGCCTGTGATGTGGGAGACCTGGGTTGGGAAGATCCCCTGGAGAAGGGGAAGGCTACCCACTCCAGTATTCTGGCCTGGAGAACTCCATGGACTGGATAGTAGTCCATGTGGTCGCAAAGAGTCGACTTTCACTTTCATCTAAATTAATCATTGCGCACACAAACTGAGATTGGGACAAGATGTCTGATTTACCCTGGATGAAGCAGAATTGTAAAGGTGAAATTACAATGTGTTTCAGGCACTGGGAATTTAAAGATCCCAGCTTCCTCCCAACAGGAAGGGGACCACCATGTGGGGACCACTTGTAGGTTTAGATCTCTGCTTCTCAACACTGGCTGCCTATTGAGGTCACCTGGAGTGCGTAAGAATTAATGTCAATGTTCAGGCCCCACCTCAAATCAATTCCATCACAATCTCTGGGGATAGGACCTAGGCATCTGTATATTAAATGCTCCCCAGTGGAGTCTAGTGTGCAGCCTTTGCAAAATGGGTATTGAATGTGGAGGCGTGAGTGACTACTGATTGTGCAGGGTGTCATTCACTCAACCTACCATGCCAGGCTCCAACAGAGGAGCCTGTCTACAGTCCGTGGGGTCTACAGAGGAGCCTGTCTATAGTCTGTGGGGTCACAGAAGAGTTGGACACGACTTAGTGACTAAATAACATGAACAAGTTACAAGTACAGTTATTTGAAAACTATTATGTACCGTGTGGAGAGGAGAGGCAGTGCTTCCAAGAAATAACATTTATTAGTATGTGCTAGGTGCTATTCCAAATGTGATAGGTTTCATCACAGGTGCTAACACCCCCCATTATTTTACAGAGGAGAAAACCAAGGCTTAGAGAGACAAACTGGCCTTGGGTCACTGGAATAGTAAGCGGCGGAGCCCTGGAGTCCTGAGTGGGCTGGACCAGACTTCTGCAGGGAGGCAGGAGATAGTCCAGGTGCTCCTGTGGCCGGGGGGACAGGGGCCAGCTCCTCCATTTGGCTATGGAGCATGGCTGAGAGGCCCCAGGTGTACGGAAAAGCATTTCAATCAGTTTCTAACTTGGGGGATGGATTCTTAAAAATACTAACAGGAGCCATTCAAATAAATAATAGATACACAAAAGCAGCTTAGTCCCTTTAGGAAAAACCCTTTAAAATATATTTCAGGCCTTACTCTACTGTTCGGTGCATGTTTAATTGTTTGGAGGAGTTTTATTAGCTCCCAGCCTTTATTTTGATTACCGTGGAAATGAGATTTCTCCCTCATGCCTTGGTCCAGTCCCTCAAATCATTAATGAAATATCAGAGCTAATATGGTTTTTATAATTTGTATCACAATACTTAAGTGCAGAGCAGATGGCAGCTAAAGATGAATAGGAGTAAGGCAGAAACTGGCTCAAAGCCTTCTGTTCAGTAGGACTGTTTATGATTCTGGCTCCTGAATAAATGGGCCGTGGCTGGCCGGAGTGCCTTCTGATCTTGGTGGCTTTCCCCCCAGGCCATTGTGGTACATCTTCCCCTCTGCAGTGAGAAGTGAAGGATGCTAGTAAGTTCTGTCAGTCTCCTGTCGTCTTTTTTTATCACAAAGCACTTTGATTTAGGGGTTTCTAAGGGCCTAAAGGATGGATCCAACCAGTCCATCCTAAAGCTCACTGGAAGGACTGATGTTGAAGCTGAAACTCCAATACTTTGGCCACCTGCTGTGAAGAGCTGACTCATTGGAAAAGACCCTGATGCTGGGAAAGACTGAAGGCAGGAGAAGATGGTTGGATGACATCACCGACTCAATGGACATGAGTTTGGGTAAACTCCTGGGGGTTGGTGGTGGACAGGGACGCCTGGCATGCTGCAGTCCATGGGGTTGCAAAGAGTCGGACACGACTGAGCGACTGAACTGAACTGAAAGGCCTAAAGTGAAAGTGAAAGTCACTCAGTCATGTCTGACTCTGCAACCCCGTGAACTATACAGTCCATGGAATTCTCCAGGCAAGAATACTGGAGTGGGTAGCCTATCCCTTCTCCAGGGGATCTTCCCAACCCAGGAATTGAACCGGGGTCTCCTGCATTGCAGGTGGGTTCTTTACCAACGGAACTCAGGGAAGCCCACTAAGGGCCTAACTATGTACTTATTAATGATCTGGGAGTAATGACTCCTGGGAGTGATTTATAAATAGTCATGAAAAGAGCACACAAAGCCACAGGAGCTCACACGGTGATCTAGGAGCTCAAACCTGGATGAAAGTGTGCTTCTGGGAATTCTAGAACCATGGAGGGAACTTTGCCCACCGCTTTGTGCTACGACACAGACCTGGGAGATGCAGAGAGGGGAAGGGACTTGCTATAGTGCACACAGCCGTGGTGGCAGAACTGGGACTGAACCTGGTGACAGCCTCCTGGTTTCTCTAACTGGGGGATGGAGGTACAGGTGGTAGCTGGGTTGCCAGAGCTTCTGTTTTGCACAGCCATCCAAGGAGCTGTGATCTTAGGCAAATCACTACCTGCCTGTCATTCATGAAATGAGGGGATCAGATTAAGCCAATATTTCTTAGAGTGGTTCTGCCTGAGTTGGTGTCTGGAGGTGGGGCCTAGGATTACCCCAGGTCACCTGAACCTTCAACCATTGAGCACTGGGTTCAAGTGGTCCCTCAGACCACCTTGTAAAACCGAGGTCTGTGGCCTCCAGGCAGAAGATTTCAAACAGGGACAGTCTGACAGCCACCACACTTTGTGCATTCCCTGTATCGGGTTTTTTCAGTAGTCATGTAAGGATGTGAGAGCTGGACCAGAAAGAAGGCTGAGCGCCAGAGAATTGATGCTTTTGAATTCTGGTGCTGAAGAAGACTCTTGAAAGTTCCTTGGACTGCAAGGAGAAATCAGTCCTAAAGGAAATCAACCCTGAATACTCATTGGAAGGACTGTTGAAGCTCCAATACTTTGGCCACCTGATGTGAAGAGCTGGCTCATGAGAAAGACCCTGATGCTGGGAAAGACTGAAGGCAAAATTAGAAGAGGGTGGGAGAAGATGAGATGGTTAAAATAGGATCACCGGCTGAATGGACATGAATCTGAGCAAACTCTGGGAAATAAAGACAGGGAAGCCTGGCATAGCACAGTCCATGGGGTCTCAAAGAGTCAGATACGACTTAGTGACTGAACAACAATAGTCACTTCAGTTCACTTCAGTTGCTGAGTTGTGTCCGACTCTTTGCGACCCCATGGACTTCACGCCAGGCTTCCCTGTCCATCACCAACTCCTGGAGTTTACTCAAACTCATGTCCATTGAGTCGGTGATGCCATCCAACCATCTCATCCTCTGTCGCCCCTTCTCCTCCCGCCTTCAATCTTTCCCAGCACCAGAGTCTTTTCCAACGAGTGGTGGCCAAAGTGTTGGAGTTTCAGTTTCAGCCGTCCAGTGGGGTCTCAGAGTTGGACACGGCTTAGTGACTGAACAACAACAACAGCTACTTAGTTTCCCCCAAAGTCAGTTCCTGGGGCGTAGAGAGGGGGCTTCGGGTTCTGGGTGGAGGAAAGGGCTTTGGAGAGGTGTCCCCTCACCTCCAAGATCCAGTATTCCCCAGTCATCTCAGCCTAAGGAGTCGGGTTTGGCTGGACCCGCTCCCGGGCACAGGGCGCCTGGGGACGGCAGGAGGCGCTGTCCGCAAGGCTTTGGTTCCAGGGTCCGCTCGCCGAGTCGGCAGCCGCGCGTGCGCAGTAGCCGGGCGGGGGATGGGGGTGTTCCGCAGGCCGGAGCCCGGCTTGCGCCCGGAAAGGCGGGTGGTCGAGGGAGCTCGCGCTGCAGAACCGGGAGCGGACGGGCGGTGCAGAAGGCCCGGGGGCCGCGGTCGGGCCCGGAGCCTCTCAACCGCGCGCCGAATGCAGTGAACTTTGGCAAAAGTTGTTTCATTATTATTAACTGTGCTCCTGTGGGAAAATTGTGAGCGTAGACACAAATCTCCCACGGCCACTCCCTGCAGAGAGGGGCGCTGCTGCCTGGGGGTAGGGGGGTGTTCAGACCTCTCTCGCCTACCCGGGGGTCTCTGTGAGTCGCTTTTCAGTTCACTGCAGAGAGAATCAACCCCCGCGCCGGGGATGGGGAGCTCTGAAGAGCATCGTGACCAACAGGACCAGTGAGGGGCGCTTGTGCGTCCGCCGGCAGGGAGCGCTGCGACCCCATGGGAAGGGCCTCCCCGGACCGTCCTGAAAGCTTGTTGGACGGCTGCGACTGGAGGGACTTGCAGCCTGAGGTCCTGCAAGGACAGGGGCGTTGGGCTGGAGTTGGGGGAGTGCAAGGAGGGAGAGAAGGGGGAGGAAAGGCGAGTCCTTTGGCCGCGGGAGCTCAATGTTCAATGGGGTTACTAATAGTTGCCCTGCTGGTGGGGGAGCGGCTAGGTGTGCAATGATTGAGGATGACTCAGGCGCCTGGTTGCTGAGATCTCGACAGCCCTGCCCACCAGCGAGATCGGGCAGCCCTGGGTGTGCGAGTGCCAAGGGCAAGGTCAGTACCTGGGCCCAGAGTGATACTCAACTGTGGTCTTCCTGGGGGAGGGGATCAGGGAGGGACGATTTTCCTCCCCACTCCTGGCTGTGGCCAAGCGCTGCCCACTGCCCACCCCCTTGGCTTCTGAGTCCTTCAAGGCTAGTCACCAGCTCTGTAACTTCAGTCCAGCGTTGGAACGTCTGCAGTCGTAGTTTCCTCATTTAGAAATTGGAAGCCGGCTGCTGGTGAGGGTAGTGTTAGGTCCTTGGTTCTGCCCCCAATCCCTCGACCTTCTTTGGGAATTTGCAAGCTCCGAAGGGTGCTGGGATGACCTGAGACTTGATAAACGTCCAGGCACCCTGGGCTCTACTCTGACAGGTAGGTGCTGTAGATCTGGGTGGCACAAGTTTCCTTGGACCTTCCTGGGAACACATGTCCTGGGGTCTGGTTGAGGACCCCACTGACCCCTGGGCCTGGGAAGGGAAGTGCCAGGGTAGTGGGGTGCGGGGCAGGATCCATCCCAGACTCATTAACCTGCGAGGCTATGCAGAGAGGGAGGGATTTTAGTGGTTTTGTTTGGGCAGGACCCTGAGCTGATGTTTCCCTTAGGAGGTGTCATTGCTCCTAGGATGTGAGGATACTCCTGGACTTGGATAGCCTGGGGGGGTCAGGTCCTAACCTGAGTTCACTTGCCCAAGGCCTGGGTTCTGACCTGGGTTCACTTGCCGGGTGCCTGCCTCTCCCCACGGGTCTTAACTTTGATGAGTGAATAGTGATAACGATCGCACCTTTCCTTCCCAGTTGAGGGCCAGTTCATGTTCTAGTTCCTTCATCCCCATAGCAGGCCTGCAAAGCTGGTGGCACTCAGACCCACTCCAGGGAGACAGCTCGTAGGCTCCTCAGGTGGGAGGTGAGGCTTCACCCTCTGGAGCCTGGTGCCCAGACAGCCTCGTCCGTGCGGGGGAGGGAACTGAAACTGCAGACCCCGCTCACGACGACAGTGACCGAGGTCTCCAGCCAGGTGTCTGAGCCGTCTGGGTGGGCCTGGGTGCAGCCTGTTCTAGAGGCCAGGGGTCGGGAGTGGCTGTGTCCACCCCTGGTTCCACGCCCCTCCCTGTCCCCCATTGGGGCCTGGCCCTCTGCGGAGGCTCTGTCTGTTTGCCCTTTAGTATAACCAGGGCTTTCTCCTGAGGTCTGGAGGAAGGTCCACCTCAAGGAAGGAGGTTCTGCATCTTTGCGGGGAGGGCAGATGGGGTGTGGGGAGCATCGGGGTAGCAGGAGCTGTGCCCGGCCCCACTGGCCAGAACTCTGTCTCCCAGGCCTGAGCTGTTTGCACTTCTCACCTCCAGAGCTCGTCTGGGTCCCCCGCCCCCCTCAAGCAGCCAGTCCAGGGCTTGTCTGGGACACCAGACCCCGCCCGTGGCCAGCCACTTTTCCAGAGGAAAGCACGGCCCCACAGGAGGCCCCACACTACCCCGTCACAGCTTTGAAGGTGGGAGCCAGGAGGCCAAGGCGAAATGGCATGGAGGGTAAACAGCTGAGGACCCAGTTTGGCCTGGTCAGGAGGCTGGCTGGCTACAAAGGGACACTGTGAGGGATGCCCGGCTGCAGAAGGGACCCATTCAGTTCCCCCTGAACGGGACTTGCCTGCTAATTAGGTGGGGAGGACCCTAGCAGTGGGTGGGCTGCAGGGAAAGGGTGGGATGGGTAAGGGGGGAGGTGAGTGACCCCGTCTGGGAAGAGCTGCTGTTTCCGAATAGCTAGAGCTGAAAGTCCAAGCCTGGTCCTGCCCACCCGCCACCCCAGAACTGTGTGAGGCGCTGTTAAAAATGGGGATGTGCCAGCCCTGTCCCAGATGTCCCTTCTGCGCTGGGTGGGGGAGCTTGCACTCATCATACCTTTGCTGGTGCTTGTCAGGGATCAGGCCTTTGGCACGCTGCCCCTCCATCTGCTGCTGTCTGGGAGGTGGCAACCCCTCCAGCTCTGGGGCACCTGGTGGGGCTCAGGGCAGGAGAACTCCCACACTTGTTCCTCTACTCAGCGGGCTCTGCAAGTATTTCCATGTTCTCCGTATGCTCTGCTGGGGGAGAGGGTGGGAAGCTCCAGTTCTGTCCTTTTGTCTCACAGTAGGATGGTGCCGTATTATCCCACTTCACAGATGAGAAAACTGAGGCTCCACCAGGCTGATGACTTGCTCAAGGTCACACCGTGTGGTGCCCCTGTGGTTCTGCCTTCCTGGGGGGGTGGATGGAGGCTAGGAAGGTGATGTCAATTTCCGTGTGCAGCTGGGTTGGAGCCACAGCCCCCATAACCTCTTAATACCACTCCACGTGGCCTTACTGCACGTGGGACACACTTCAGGGCCACCCAAGGCTCTGGGTGGGGGAGGTGAGGGAGACTGTCCTATAATTGCTGGTGGACAGCATGAAGACAGGCCCGGGTGGGGGGCCCGGGCTTCCTGGGAAAGGGGCCCTCTTCTCTTCCGGGATGCCCACCATGCCCACAGCCCACTTCTGTGGTCCACGTGGCAGTGGTGGCGCTGAGATTCATCTCTAGACCCTTCTGGGCACATTTGCTGTTCCTGGGACGGCACCGACCTGTTGATTAAAGGTGGTTTCAGTGACTCTTGGTGGGCATCTGATGGCTCAGTCGGGGTCACTTGGCTTTGTGCCCCCTGCCTGTGCTGAGGGCACTTGTTCAGGACTTGGTAGGAGTGGGGTTAATGGATCCCAAAGGTGAGACCACGTGGGGTGTGAGCAGGGGGCTGAACAGGACGTTGTAGTCCCACTAGAAGTAGTGAGTGGATCAGACAGGCCCGAGGCGGCCTGAGCAAGGGGGTCCTGGGTGACCCCCTGCCCTACTCTTGGGTCCGTGGTATGGTGGTTCAGAGGCCAGGTAGGAGGCAGTGATGGACAGACAGTGGCTGGGGCTCCAGACTCAGGTGACTCCTGGCTAGGGTGGTCAGGGCAGCAGTTGGTCTTCGGTGCTCCCTGACTGCACAGGTACACCCTAAATCCCAGCCTCCCCCTGACCCGTAGCTGATGGGGGTCACTGGGGAGGGAGGCCTGGGGACGCCCCTGCCACAGGCTTCTCGTGCTCCTGGGCAGACCCTTGCACAGAAGCCAGGGGCTCAGTGAATTTCCGTGTGAATTACTCCTTGATTGAGTGTAGCAGAGTGAAAGCAGAGCTGCCATTCCATTGTTCTCTCTCCAGGTTCAGAAGAATGTGCTCAGACAGGTAAAAAAATGGGCAAGGTTTGCTTAGCTAGCAGACTGTTCCCAGAGCAATGCACAGCTTGGACTGAAAAGCGAGTTGCTGTTTCTTAGGCTGTGCCTTGAAGTCTGAAAGGTTTTTCATTCCAGAGTGTCTGGGGAAGCTGACTTCTGTGTCTGTTTCATCCCCTCCCGCCCCACCCTCCCAACCCCCACAGTTTCAAATGAAGGATCAATGGGAGGATAGAATTGAAGAGAGAATCTGGAAGTAAATGTGACCTCCTTAACTCTAAGATCTTACCCTTGAAACTCCAGACTCTGAATTTCAGCGCTAGAAGACCCGAAAGGGCACCAGACAGCTGACACTTGCTCAAGGACACACAACGGGCTAGTAGCAGGAGCTGAACCTGAACCCAGGTCTTTGGACTTCCAACTTTCTGGAGCTGGGAATCAGAGCAGACCGTCCTGGTTTGTGTCTCTCCCTTTTACACCCAGACCCTCATGTACTGCCTGACATCTTCCTCTCAACATGATGAAACAGGAAAGAAATTGAATTTGTTTTCTATTGCCTTGTGACAGATTACCAGATTTGTTAACAAATTTGGCAGATTAAAACACATGCATTGATTATCTGACAATTTCTGTGGGTGTGGAGGCTGGGAGGGCTTAGCTGGGTCCTCTGCTCAGGGTTGAGCAGAATCGCGGTGCCTGGGAAGACAGTCAGGAGTCCGCTGGGAGAGTGACTGCATGAATGTGGAGGGAGGGCACGGGGCTGGACGCCGGGGTCTGTGACACCAGGCACAGTAGCTTGAGGCCCTGTGGCAAGCTCACGGTCAGTATAGCAAAGGTGCGGTGGGAGTGATCCACAGCTGACTAATACAGGGCCTCTCCGGGGCGCATTCACAGCTGAATCTTTGGTGGGGGCGGAGGGAGGGCCCAGTGTTACTATTTCTGGTCTAATTCACCCTGGTGAGTGAGGTGCTGGGAAAAGCCCTAGGCCTCCTAAATTTGAAGGTTGAGAGGCAATGTTTTACTCCCAAGTGGGGAGTACAATCTAGCCCAGAGACCAGGTGCTGGGGGGTGAAGTTCGAAAGAGGAAAAATAAGGTAGGTTTTTCAAAACTCACAGACCTTGAGCTCTGTCTGTGCCTTATCAGGATCGCAGGGTCTCAGGGTGATGGCTGGCGATACCACAGGCTGGCTTGAGGGGGCTTGCTGCAAGTTCAAGGTGTT